TTATATATAATTTCATATTATTTGAAGATAATCATATCTTTACTTTTTCTTTTTCTATCTGGATTGCTTTTACTTCTTATCTGATTGCTCTATCTAAAACCCTTATATCCAGTACTAAGTTAAACAGAAGTGGTGAAGGTAGACATTCTTGTTCTTGATCTTAAAAAAAAGCTTTCAGCTTTTACCATTAATTTTTGTATAGGCTGTTGGTTTGTAGAGTATGGTGTTTATTCTGTTGACATATGTTCCTTCATTACTTATTTTCTTAAGATTTCTTCATCATAAATGAGTATCCTATCTTGTCAGATACTTTCTCTGCATCTATTAATAGTATCCTGTATTTTTTTTACTGATACAATATATCCTTTCTTTGTTGATTGATATTTGTATACTAAATCATCCTTCAATCTTTGAAATAAATTCTATTTGGTCATGTTATATGATCCTTCTATTTATTATTGTTGAGATTTTCAAATCTTTATGCATCAGGAATATTGGTCTATAGTTTTCTGTTTTTGTGATATCCTTGTATGATTTGGTATTATGGTAATGTTGGCATCAGTGGATGCATTAGGAAATGTTTCTTTGTACTTTTGGAAATGTCTGCATAAAATAGGATTCATTTTTAAAATTTTTTATTTATTGTTCTAAAACTATATCCACTTTTTTAAAATTAGCAAACTTGTTGTCATAGAGTAATATGGGATAAACCTAGAAGTAAAGGAGCACAGGACACACAGAAATGAAAGGATTTATTAAATTGAAAAAGAAGACTGAAAGAGAATTTATAGGCCTCTGTAGCAAGATAAAGTTTGTCCTACCCACAGATGGTATAAGCCAGGCAGGAGCAAGGTGCTATCCTAAACCAGAGAGTAAAGAGAAAGCAGTCACATGAGTGTTTCATCTTTTGAGATCAACATGGCCTCTCAGCTTTATCCCTTGTTCAGAATAGCCCCTCTCTCTCCTTGTTCAAGATGTCAGGTTCATGGTATTTTGGAAGTTGTAATGTTCAGCATCTGAAATCGTAGTGATGCAGCATCTGAAATCTTAGGGAGGCAGAGATGTGGGTGGACTCCAGAAAGCTTTAGTATGTCTCCCACTGTCTCTAACAATAATTGTTTACAGTAGTACCTCATGCTTTTTTATACTTCTATGATATCTGTAGCAGCATTTCCTTTTCAGTTCTAAGTTTATTTATTAAAGTTTTTTCTCTTCTTTGTGGACTTACCTAAAGTTTTATAGATTTTTATCTCCTTCAAGAACTCTTAGTTTCATTGATTTTGTGTTGCCTTAACAGCTTTTTGCATTTATTTCTGCTCTAATTCTTAGTAATTTCCTTTCATTCCCCCCTCCCCACCCACACACACACCCAAGTTGTTTAGGTATAGGATTAATTTATTGTTTTTCTTGTTTCTTGGTAAAGGCCTATATTGCATTACCTTCATTCTTAGTACCTCTTTAGCTATAGTCCATAGACTCTGATAATTTATATCTTCATTTTCATTTGTCTCCACTCCAAGTATGCTTTAAATTCCTGTTGGTTGGCCCAATGAATACTGAATAGTATGTTGATTAATCTTCATGTATTTCATATTTGTCCAGTTTTTTAAGTTTCTGAGTCTGTTTCCTAGATTTAGATTATCAGAAAATCTCTGATCTCTCTGCCTTTAGCAACACAACTGTGTTGTAAAAATTTGTAAAATTTGTTCTGGCAAATCTTTGAATACCTGTCTCTCCTTTTGTATTAGATAGAAGTTGCCACTTACTGTGTACAATTCTCAGTGCCCTTACTCAGGACATTTTTTCCTCTGTTTGTCCCAAATTCTTTATAATGTACATACTTATTAGAATAATGCATAAGACTTACTATTGTGCTTACTTGTTAGAATAATGCATAAAACTTACATCTGATAACTGTTATAGTAGTAAAGTTTCAACATCAAACAGTAAATGGATCCATCTAGAGTTTTACAGTGTCTAGCAGAGAAAATATAAGATGTTAATAGCTTCATAATTTTCATTATAAGGTTTTCTATCCCATGGCTAGTAAGATGAAAAGGGATGAATAGAAGTAGAATGGGCAAATATATATATTTTATTCTTTTTTTTTTTTGCTTGTAAACAGTTATATTTGGAACATGTTACAAGTAATGAAATACAGTTAAACAAACTCACCATATAATTTTTATTCTTATAAAAATTCTCCATATATATTTTATTCTTATACAAATGGGTATGAGTATCCATCAATCGAACAAGTAAATGTTTATTGTACTTCTGTTGCAAGCCTCTGTCTCTCATTTTCGACAGTTGTGGAAAAATGTTCTCTGTCAGTGAAGCATAGAATGAGTAAGAGAGGTAAGACACAAATGTGTGAAACTAAACTAGAGCAAGTTTGCTACACATTCCACTGTATTGTGTGACTACAAATATAGAAAGTATTAGAATGTTAGAAAGATAATGGCTATATAAAAGATGGAATTCCGAGTTCCTGCTATAGTCAACATATATTAAAAGATACAAGGTGTGTGTCCAAAAACTTAAGGTTGAGCCAGTATAGGGCCCTTGGTAAACCAGCTTTACCATATCACATTAATGTATAAGCAATTTTAGATTCCTTAGAACCCTCCACATAGATAATTGTGGTTAATGAACACATCAGAAGCCTCTTTAGCTTCCTTCTATGCTATACATCTGTCTCTAAGTCTGAAGCCCTTGAGTATTTTATATCAACAGCCTTACTACCCTCACTGCCATGTTTACATATTGCCTTGGAGATGTCTCTTCTTTCCATCTCCTGCTTCTATTGGTCTTAAGTGCCTGGCATAACCTGTGGCTGTTGAAGATGGTTAGTAACTGAGGCTTGTTGGATCCTGAATTACAAACCAGTCTTATCAGTGGAATCTGGAGGAAGCTGAAAACTTGGCTGTCACTAATCAGTCTGAATGTTCTGTGTTACCTACCTCTGTTTTATTATATTATATGGAGGCTGCTTTGTATAAAAGCAAAAATTCTAGGAGATACCATTCCTTAATAGTGATCTGGTACATGATGTTCGAATATATTGGAATAGGAAACATGTAGAAACTCAGTATTGTGGGCAGGTCTTTAAGAACTAACTGCCCAGATTAAGCCTTTGGGTTCAGTTAGTGATGTTAGAGGAGGACTAGGGTGGTATTTTGGGTAAGTAAAAGATATTCCATTGGAATGTTTAGGATTCTAAGGATGGTTATCTTATTTTGTCTAGAGGACTCATCATAGGTGTAAATAATCTCTATCTTCTTTTCCCACATCTACAGCTGCTGGGTTGGGTTTTTTGTTTTTGTTTTGTTTCTTTTTTTTTTTTTTTTTATTCCCGGTCTGCTAGAATCGATAGCATATCACATAGCTAGTAAGACAGACCTTTCACTTATTTGGACATTTTCTTGCACTGAATCCTTTAAATTGTAGATTTATTTGGACAACAGTCATCCTTCCTTCTCCATCTATTATTCATATCTGTTGTCCCTCTAGATATCCAGGATAAAACCATATTTCAACAGTTACTTATGTTGAACAAGAACTCTTAACCTTTTTAAAAATCACAAGGTATTTGTAACCTTGATCTTGATGTAAAAAGCCAGATGTTTTTGGTTGTCGCTAACTATTTGGTTATAGTTAAAGTAGACTTAGGTCAAGATTTTTGGCTTTGGAACTTTGTTCTTTGTTTTTTCCATAATTATCCTCAGATATATTTAATGTTTTGAGTGGTGGAGTACTAACCAGGTCTTTCATAAATCTTCCAGAACCTGAGGCTCACGTGCTTCTGAGCTCCTGTGGATGGCCCTGGCCCTTTTGACCACCCTTCTGAGTAGGATGTCACTGAGATCCCTCAAATGGAGCCTCCTGCTACTGTCCCTCCTCAGTTTCCTTGTGATGTGGTACCTCAGCCTACCCCACTACAATGTGATAGAACGTGTAAACTGGATGTACTTCTACGAATATGAGCCAATTTACAGGCAAGACTTCCACTTCACACTTCGAGAGCATTCAAATTGCTCTCATCAAAACCCATTTATTGTCATCCTGGTGACTTCACACCCCTCAGATGTGAAAGCCAGACAGGCCATTAGAGTTACTTGGGGTGAAAAAAAGTCTTGGTGGGGATATGAAGTTCTTACATTTTTCTTATTAGGCCAAGAGGCTGAAAGGGAAGACAAAGTGTTGGCATTGTCCTTAGCAGATGAACACCTTCTTTATGGTGACATAATTCGGCAAGATTTTGTAGATACATATAATAACCTGACTTTGAAAACAATTATGGCCTTCAGATGGGTAACTGAATTTTGCCCCAATGCCAAATATATCATGAAGACAGACACTGATGTTTTCATAAATACTGGGAATTTAGTGAAGTATCTTTTAAATTTGAACCACTCAGAAAAGTTTTTCACAGGCTATCCTCTAATTGATAATTTCTCCTATAGAGGATTTTACCAAAAATCCCATATTTCATACCAGGAATATCCCTTCAAGGTGTTTCCTCCTTACTGCAGTGGGTTGGGTTATATAATGTCCAGAGATTTGGTGCCAAGAATCTATGAAATGATGAGTCATGTAAAACCCATCAAGTTTGAAGATGTTTATGTTGGGATCTGCTTGAATTTATTGAAAGTGGACATTCATATTCCAGAAGACACAAATCTTTTCTTTTTATATAGAATCCACTTGGATGTCTGTCAACTTAGACGTGTCATTGCAGCTCATGGCTTTTCTTCCAAGGAAATTATCACATTTTGGCAGGTTATGCTAAGGAATACCACATGCCATTATTAGTTTGACATTATACCAAAAGCCTAGTGAAGGACAGGATACCTTGTGGGAAGTTTTAAAGTTAGTGCTACAAATCTCTCTAATGGAAAAATGCATGGGAAAGGTACTATGCTGTTTTACACTGAACTGAAATTTATAAAGAACCCATACACTAGAGACACTAGTGATTTACAGAAATCAAGTGAAGGCCCTTTAAAAAAAGGTTATATTCAGAGAAATTAAACACATTTAAAAGAAGTGGAGAATGTATTGTTATTACAACTAATAGAAACAATTTGAACATAGTAGGCTAGAACTTTTAAAAAGTTTTTTGTTGTAAACTAATAATTCTGTAACAACAAAGCAATGTAGAGTTCTGTTCATTGAACAATCTGATCAGTTAGGGTTTTGTGTATACTTTAAATGGAATACTGATTTTTAAAAATACATGGTTCTATGTAAAACTGCATAATAAATGTTGTAATGAACAACAATTTATCTGTTTTGTCATTCAAAAGGTACTACAAGGTGTTACAGTATTTCATAGTTATCATTGCTTATTTAATATTACTTGGAATTTTCTGGGTGTTTGAATGTTTTTGTTGTTTCAATACTATATAAACAGACTAGTGAATCACCATTTACATTTGAACTTTTTTACTTTTGTTCACCTGTGAATTTATTATTGATAGCTCTATTAATGTAAAGTCATTGGTCATTATTGTATGTCAGTAATGTCTTGGCCTTTGAGAAGAATTAAAGCAAAAAGATCTGAATTGTTGTCTTGTTTTTAAAATGATAATGCCCTTTTTTTTTTAAGATTTATTTATTTATTTGTACAGAACTGGGGTACAGGCCAGAGATGTGGAGGGTGAGAGGATTCACCAGAGACAGAGTGGGGTGCAGAACAGGCAGATCGACGAAGTATACTGCTGAGGGGAGCAGCGGGCGGGTCAGGAGAGGTCTTCCACGCCATGTGGTCACCTCTGGGGCAGGCGGGAATCGAACTCATGCGGAAGTGGCTTAAGCTTCTTTGTGCTGTACATTAACCCGCTGTGCCACCATGGAGGGCACGATGCCCATGATTTTACAGGTCACTTCACCTGTCTAATTTTCCCATTAGGAATTTAGGAATGTCAGGCAGGCAGTCTGAAAAGGATGCTAAATAGAAAAAAGAAAAGAGAAACCTGATGACCAGGAAATTAGGAAAAAGTACTTTACAGAGTACTTGAACTGGAATAAGCTTATTTCTTATTTTGGGACACATTATAAATCTGCTTTGTGTCTTTTCTTATTTGCAATCAGCTTGAAGGTAGAGGAAAATGCTGTTGCTATTAATTTCACACCAAGTGGAATTCCCTAATATGTGGTCCAAAGTCAAATCTGATTTTCTTGTCATGTAGAAGCACATTTTGTCGTAAGAACGGTGACTTATCTACTGTTGGACCTGCTACTATTAATAGATCTAAAAGAAGCATTCCTTGCCCCCTATTCCTGGAAATGTGCAATTTCCTATCACAACTAGATAAGTGATTCCTTTTTTTCTGGATCACATGATGGCAAAAGATCGAATCTTAGAACTTGGAAGTATGTGGTCAGATATCATAATATTCAAATATTTATCCTATGTTAAAAGCTTAATTTCAATTAGAACTGTTACATGATTATAACAAGCCTGAAATTTCTGCTTCTCTGGTGTGAGATTTTATTTAATTACAATAAAATCAATTAAATGAAATCTTCTAAGGACTCAGTCTATGTCCTAGCTAATCCCTATGCCTATAGGAGTCACTTTAAGACGTAGGTGATAGTTATAGTTTATGCTATGATTAATTTGATCAATTTTGCAAAGGTTTAGATTGATGTTTGGAAAGCTAACTCCAAGTTTTTTTAGAGAGAATACTGAAATAATTTCCCTTAAAACAAGGTGAGTAAAAGTTAAAATGTGAGTAATTGGCATGTTTCTGAAGATTGTACTTTCTTAATTGGAGATTTAGAAAAATCTTTACAAAGTTAAATAATTATGAAACTCAGTGAGTGGGTTGTATTTTTGTTTTTAACTACATGTCTCAATAGTTTAAGCTTTCAGGTTGTTAAATATTAGTAATAATAAATATTAGCTAAATATGTTGTTAAAATATTGGTCTCTGATCTATGACCATTGTTTTTAACTCATAAAATTTAATATTAATATTAGGCTAATTCCTTCTTACCATCCCTGTGGTCTTATATACTCCTCCCACTTGACTCTTGTGCTTTCCCCAAAAGCATTGAATATCTGGCTACCTGACCCATTAGCTTTTACCAGATTATGTGGCTAGGACAACTGTCGAGTCTCTGAGGTTGACAACACTGCTTTTTGTTTGTTTTTGTTCCTTTGTTTATTATAACCATAATGCAACTTTATTGGTTGTTGACATTGGCTGCAGCCTTGCTCTTTGTATATTCTCATCTGAGGAAAAGGATGAAGGGCAGTATCTGCATAGAGCACAGTTACCCCTGATGGAGTATGAAGCAGTTCTGACAGAGAGAAGAAAAAAAAAGACTGGTGGAAACACACTGATATGTACATACTCTGATCAAAACAAATCACATACAGAGCCTGGTGCCAATGGGGACTGAGAGGGAGTTAGGAGGAGATTCACCTGACACAGAGTTCCAAGTCATATTGTGGGAGGTGGTAATATATTTTTGTACAGAATGGGGAATGAATAGCTGGACACAGTGTATGAAATTGATGAAATGCTCAGAGATCATTTTTCTGAAGCAAGCTAGAGTAGGTTGAAGGTTTTCTAACTCACTTGTTGCTAGTGCTTTGGGCCCATCCCTGAAAAGGCTGCCAAGTTGCCCTTGTTAATCATTCCTTGGCTCTTCCTTGAACAGTCTTGACATTATTGTGTTCCCAGACTCAAAGCTGGCAGAGATGAGCTATTTATAACATCAGTATTTCTGAACATCAGGTGGTAAAACCGTTTTCTGTAGAGATCAGGTAGACATTAAAGAAGAGAAAGAGGAATTAGGGAGGGGCCATTTTTAAGGGGAAATGGAGACTATGAATAATGTGGTAGGCCCACACTGCCATCTTTGGAGTTCTGATTATATTAAGCAAGTCTTGTGGATTTTGTGTGAGCTGAAGACCAACATTCATTGGGATTCCTTCACACTACATTCCATCAGCTCGTTTATTATGCTGTATGTGGTTAATATGGGACTAAACCTTTAAGGAACCCATCTGCATAGAGGGTATGTATTGGTGGGGATGTTGCTATGAAATGAAATCAAGCATGAGAAACAGGCCCTGAAAGCCAAGGCACAATTTGAGTGGCAGAGCAGTCCTTTGACAGTTTGTGTTCAAGGGAAGGACCATCTCCTAGATCCCACAAGGGCAAAGAAGGACCAAATAAGAATGGATACAATCCCCTGTGTTTAAGATAAGTAATAGAGGTGCAAAAGCTTTGCTTGGATAGTTTTTTGAGGCCTGGGTGTGGTCCACCCAATAAAGGAGAGTGAATCCTAGTTTAGAACTGGAAGAGAATTTAGAAATAAGTAATGGACAATATGCACAATATTTCATATTGCAAAAGCTGAGAGGGGTCCATACATTCACTAAGATTAGTTTACCCTCACTAAGAAAAAGTTTGTACCAGATAGAATTTGGTACAAACTTGAATTTGGTTACTGAGAGAGTAACCATGGTCAAGCTTATGCAAAACAGAAGCTTGCATTTTTTTTTCCCAGAGATAAATTATAATTTAGTAAGTGAGAGTCATGGGTGAAGCAAAAAAGGACAATACAAGAGTTTTCTACCAAAAAAAAAAAAAAAACACTTGGAAACTCCTTTGATGAATTAAATAGGTTTTTTCAGTATGAACTTTTTTTTTTTTAAAGATTTATTTTATTTGTACATGCAGAACTGGGGTACAGGCCAGAGGCTCAGGGGCGGTGAGAGGCTTCACCAGAGACAGAGTGGGGAGCAGAACAGGCAGATCCACGAAGTACACTGCTGAGGGGAACAGCGGGCAGGTCAGGAGAGGTCTGCCACACCATGTGGTCACCTCCAGGGCAGGCGGGAATCGAACTCATGCGGAAGTGGCTTTAGCTTCTCAGTGCGGTGCTTTAACCCGCTGTGCCACCAGGGAGGGCCTCAGTATGAACTTTTAAGAGGATGTTGTTTGAATTTCAGAGTTGCTATAGGCTTGATTATAATACAGTCATTGACAATAATTCTTAAAATATGATGCTAATAAAAGTTGTCATGAGCCCAAATTTATTGAAAATTAGAAATTTGAGGTTTAAATGTGTGTGTGTGTGTGTGCGTAATGTGTCTGAGCTGTATTCCCGGTTGCATCTAAATTCTTGAAGGTTCTTTTGGAAACCATCAGTAGCCAAAAAAAATGGCTTTCATCTGCATGTAATATGTGGTAGAAGTCCACTTTGCTGGACTTCAAAACTGAATATTGCAGATAGAGAAATGGCTTGTGATTCTCGTGAATCTGCCCCTCCCTCTCCCTGCTCACTACTGTTGCCCTTTCTTGGTTGCGGGCCTACTTCCCATACTTCTTGGGGGGATCCCAAGCATTTTTTTTTCTTTCTCCTAAGTCTCACAAACACAAAGTTGCTGTGAATTTTAAAATTTCACTTAGTTCAAGCACAGTAAAATACAATTACTACTCAGTGAGTTTGAGATCTTTAGATTCAACATCCAGCATATCTTGAAGAAATTTGCTTGGCATTTCTTCAGGTGGTGGTCTCCCCCATGCAAGTGTGGCAGTTGTCCATATTGACTCTGAACAACCCTCTCAGCAACTGAATGTGATAGAAGTGATACTTCATGGCTTCCAAGTGTAGATCCGAAAATGAGTGCAACATACACTTCTGTTTTTTGGAATGTATGCTTCTGTAAAATGTTCAACTACTCTGACCCTGTGACACTGGGAAGAAGGCCAAGACAGACATTTGACAAGGCCGTGTAGAGGAAGAAATGCCCAGCCAGCCAGACACGGAGTGGAGAACTCATTCAGAAGTTAAACTGTCAGATGACTCAGCCCTAACTGCAAAAGATGCAAATTAAGAACCTCGCAAGTGATCTGGCTTTTTTTTTTTTTCCAGATTTGCAAGCCTTTCTCCTGCAGTAGGCTATCAACAAAGATTCCAAAATGTTTTTCAATTTAGCATTGTATTCTACCCACCTTTCAGTCTGTGTGGGAGATGGGACAGTGGTCAGTGCTACTTATATTTTCCCCCTTTATAAAGAAGTCCACTCAAGGCATTTCCCAGATACAAAGTTAAATTTCTTAAAATAAATGATGCCCTTTTCTTAAAAGGCTGTAGCAACTACAATAAATATATGGAATCTACAAATGCAAGTATACCAAAGGATAAAAGAATGAAGGTATATCATAATGAAAATATATCAAAATATTAATAGGAATTGTGTTTCAATGACTTTTCTCTTTTAATGTACCTTTTATAACTTCAGTCAACAATGAGAATAAGTTGTTTTTATAATGTAATCTAGAAATGTATTATTGAGTTTAAGTAGAGGTGAAAAAGAAGGGCCAGAAAATAGCTGAAAGGGCCTATGGGGGCTGGGGTAGATAATGTAATCATTGCCCTGTGCAAGCCCTGCCCACCCAGCCTCCTGGTTTCTGTGAGATGGCCGGCCTCTAGGTGGAGGTAGTAGGATGAGATAGTGAATCTTGTCTTTGACTACAGCCTTGGGCTACTGAACAAACAATGGAAGCATGTACTTCTTGATCCTCTAAGTGAAGTATTCATTGCAGTGCAGGCAGTGATCTT